ACATTAAGACCAGAGCAAGTTGATTCTAGCTCAGAGTAAGCCTTGGTGAAAGCTTGCAATTGGTGGGGCTCAAGATCCTTCACAAGGGTAGCTTCATCAAACTGGATCCAGGTCGCACCAGCTTCCTTCAATTCGGCAATAACTTCCCTGCAAGATTACTTCTTGTTATGASRCGAACAAGAGCATAGTTCATTTTAAAGAATATAAAATGATAAGAAAATAAGACATACTTGTAGACTGGAAGGATTTTGTCRAGAAGGGATAGAAGATCAAAAGTTTTTTCAACACCCTTTGCTGGCTTGGATAGCAATAGGTAGCTGACTGGGCCAACAAAGACCGGGACGGTATCAACTCCAAGCTGCATAAAGAAACCATTATTAACCACCCCAATAAGCAGATTTCATGATCTCTAGCAGAAATATCTAAATTCTTAATAGCAGATCAAGAACACATACTGCCTTAGCCTCCTTGTATTCGTTCACAGCCTTGTGGGARGCATACGAGAATTTCACATCAGGGCCCAACTCGGGGACAATGAAATGGCTGCACATCAAGAACACAAGAGTCAATCATCCATTGTATCATATGCAACATTATCAACGCAAAAAAGAATAAGATCCACAAACCGAGGGGGAAGTATCCAACTTACTAGTTGGTGTCGAACCACTTGGTCATTTCCATAGCAGGGACAGAGGCATTTCCTCTGGCCATTGAGAAGTAAGTGTCAAAACCAATTTCACCACCGTTCCAGTTGTATCTTGGGGGGACGGCACCGAGCATGGTAGTGGTGTCAAGAACTTGGTCATAGTAAGAGAAAGTGTTGCTGGGGATATACTTGATGCCAACATCAGACATCTGTTTCCAGATGGATGATCTGAGATCAGCAGACACGTTTTGCAAATCCTCAGCACTGCTCTTGCCATCCCAGAATGATTCAAGAGCGAATTTCAGCTCTCTCTTGGGTCCCATACGGGGATAACCAACGATATGAGATGCCATTGCCCTGTTCAACCACAATTTAATAGATCGAATGAACAGCAATTCAGATTAAAGCACTCCAAGACAAACCCAAACTACTGTTGATAAAACAAAAACCTTTTGCTAAGCTACAATCTTGAAATTAGATCAAACTAAAAGAAGGTAATACAATTTCTACGCAGGCCATCATCACCAAGATGTTGTAGTCGTAATCAAGTCATTGAACTAAATCAGGTAAACTATAGATAGCTAACAGCACTTGCAGATAAAATAGAATTATTTATTTAAAAAAAAATGATTGCGGTTTTCATAATCAAAAACCCTTCACCAACCCACTAACCCCAAAAATTAGCTGTTTACCCACCAACCCCAAAAATTAGCTGTTTACCCACCAACCCAAAAAAATAGTTGTTTGCATACAACTACTACAGTACAAAAGAAAGTCTTGTGCTTGGTCAGATACTCAACTAATAGCTAACATTTTGACTAAGAAGATAGGAGTAGATGTTGTCTTGAAGAAACCTAACTTCGACTTAACTAAATCAATCTCAACAATCGTCCATACTAAACCTAAAGCTTTGCTTGAATTCATATAGCATACCTAATAGAAAATTTCACTTTAAAAATCCGAAGCAGATTGGAATTTCTTTCATTTACGGTGAAGCAGAATCTCGCTGACCCGAACAAAATCATTAGACCAAGAACAAACTTCGATGAAAAATTAGATCTAAGAAAAAAACCAGATTCAAAAGTAGATCTGTAGTTCCCTAAACCCTAGAAACACCAGATCTTATGCCCGTCTTTAAATAATTCAATATAAGCCCCGTAACATACCAAAATTATTCAATTAATAGATCCTGCGACCTTAATTACCGTTTTACACTTTTACTACGACCAAAGTCCAACAATCACCAAAAATACAATGGTGGCCCCACTGAGTGCTAAATTATCGCAAAAATGGCTGAACGCGCACATTTCAACATCCAAGTTGAGTGAGCTACATCACTAGGCACAGACAAACAAAACTCTACACGGAAAAAGAGGAATTGGTGCAGATCACGGACGTTTACCTCTAGATCTAATTCCAGTTTGTAAAAGTACATTTGATTAACAGCAAATTCAGAGTAATTACTAGAGATCTAGGTATCATGAGAAGCATAAATCTGGAAAGGAATCAGCAGGGCAAGAGAACATTGTTGAAATGGAATTGAAGTCAAAATGAGTGACGTACCTGTAAGAAGGAGAGAAAATCGGAAGTTCCGAATCAAAGGGGGTCTCAAAGGAGAGACGGATTGGTTCGTTCTTCCGGAGGTAGAAGAGGAGAGAAGAATGGTGGACACGAATTGTAGTGGAGGGAGGTGGGCTTATTTATACAGGTCTTGAGGGTGTAGTGGGTGGGTGAGATGGTGATGGGTTAGATCTGATTAAAATTAACCATTTAGTATCTGCAGACTCCTTCACGCGCTTAACCTCATCGCGTGTTATCAGTTCCTTTCAATTAACAATTTAATCCAAGTAATATATTTATGGACTATTTTGTTAGAATGTAACCGGTTTAATAGGACCCCTAATTTGTACACTTGATTATATATGATTATTTGACACTGAATTAATAATATATAAAATAACTTATTTAAGTAGTTTTTAGAGAAGTTTTATATAAAAAATTTAAGTTTTTTTTTCTCAATTTTATCCAGCATAATTAAAAAATACGATCATTTCATCTATGAAAAAACTTTCTTAAACAAAAAAAAAATTCTCAATTTATATTGATAGATTAATTTATATAGACATCTTTATTCATACATGACTTAATAAAAAACTAACCAAACAGTTCCTAAATAGTCTTTAAAACAAAAGAATGTCATAAACCAAGGGGTTATTTATTAAACGTTTACGGGTGACTAACCTTATTAGGTCAGTATTTTAAAGATCAAGAATATTACCTAATAAAGAGGCATGTATCAACAATCAATATTTTTACAAATTTTACTCGATAAGTGAGAGATGAGATTTTTACCCGGTAAGCAAGGGAGAAAATTGTTACACAGTTAATGTTATCGAGTAAAAAACGTTTACAAACAACTAATTTTGATGATCGATAATATTGTCAGACAAGGTAAATGAGAGAAGTCACTATTGCCGGTAAATGTTTGTCTGATATATATTTAATATACGGCCCCTAAACTACGAATGTGTACCCTTGGGCGGTTATTTTTTTTAATACGAAACGGAAATATGGAATATATGAAGGAGAAAAAAAATTAAAGGAAAACTATTAAAAAATAGTAATAAATGGTATTCAGAGATATCATCCGTCTATTTATATTTGTTCTAAAATAAGTGTTCACAGAAAAAAAACCATTATAAATATTTATTATTTATTTTATAATAAAAATGATTAACACAAATTTAATGGAAACTTAAAAGGAGGAAAATGTGACTTGTGTGAGAGACATATTATTGACTTAATGTAGCCCATCTAACGGTGTTAAGAGGAGTAACTAGTTTGGATCTCAAAACATGAAAAATGAACCACTAATGTACTTTATGAATTTGAGAGACAAAAACAAAAAACAGATAAATGGCCAAAAATGTAACTCAATGCATGTTTGTTAGTAGTTTAACACCCTTAATAAGACTCACATTTTATTCGGCCAGATATAGATAATTGTTTGATAGTGACTTAATGATATAGAAAACGGTTTGTTCCATAAGCTTATGGGGGGAGTAACTTTCTGCAGAAATACACTTTACGTCCATGCTGTTTTAAAACTACAAGATGACTATCATGGTTTGAGAAAGTGTCCGGATTTAGTCCCTACTTTTAATAACCGTTAAAAAGTCCAACTAAATGAGGGTATTTTTGTTCTTATTTCATTTTTTTCTTTTACCCGATCAAAAACCATAAGAACCAAAATCATAAAACTGATTTTGATTAGTTAAAAAATGACAAAAATACCCTCATTTTACATCATGAACGCCACGTTAAACCTATGGCACAGTTATGATCCCATGTGCGATTTTCGTGAAGTGTTATTTGATTTTCTTTTACTCTTTTAGTGTCATAACTTTTACTTTTTTATATATAACGTAATTTAAATTGTTTAATATGTATAAATGTGTAGTTATATATGTGATATACAAACTTGCAGCTATAAGTCATTTCTTGAAAACGTTGTGCCTCATAGGCTTGATGTTTGATCCCGCCAACACCATTTTAAACCATGACTGGCATATATATTAGTATCACTGTTTTTATCTATTTGTGACAAAATTTACACCTATTATAAGTACGGGTGTTCAACCAACTTCCGTACACTCAACTTATTACACGAGGCTATGACGTTAATAGTAATGAAAGCCTCCAAAAACCCTAATATGACTCATACTAGCTATCAATGAGCAGTAAATCTAGGGTCCGACCAGTTGAGTTGCTCCAAGGATTGATCACTAATTGAATGGGTAATCAAAGGCTTGTTTCTCAACGAATTAATGAGTTTAATGAGATTTAAAACTTATTCGGTCAGTTATACATGATTGTTTAATAGTGACTTAATGATATAAAAGGTACATATTTGGTAAGCTCCTAGAGAGAGCTTTATGCTTAAAGTCCCAAGTTTTTCTAAACTTGTCTCTCTCAATTAAAAAAACATGTTCCTTTCATCTATAAAAAAAATCATACTAAACAAAAATCCTTTCAATCTATATAAACAAATTGATCCACATAGTCTGTTTTATTCAGACAAGACTTAGTGAAAAACCAACGAAAAAACCCCTAATAATCTCAAAGAACGTTATCGATCTTATTAAAGTAAGCTACTCATAAGTAATTAATTAATCTTTTTATACTAATATAAATGTTTAGATCTAAAACTTTTAATGAGACATTTGTAAATAAACAATTTTACAAATTATTTTCATTTTATATTTTATTTTAGAGGGTTGGTGAGGATGGTAGATGAGGGTTGGTAGAATCCCCAAATGTTGAATCACCTTCATCAACATCTATCTTAGCCTTTTAGAATTCTTCAAATTATGACCTCATATTTGTATTCTATTACAATTTTGGTCTTACACCAAGTCAAAAGAGGAGGAAATAGATAACATTGTTTTGTAATAAACAGGGTTTCTCATATATTGAGTTGATTGTGTTGAAGATATTTGAACAATCCAATTTAATGTTTGCGGTTTAAAAAATCTTAACCCAACTCAAATCAAAGTGCAACCAAAACCGTACGAGTTAATCGGGTTAGTCGGGTTGATACTTTAATATATTAAATATTTTCTAACCTTGAATGTGTTATTTCTCTATTCATAATTTTTTTTCATCATCAACCATTTGATACAACTAATCCACAACTTCTTACGTATATCATATTCAATTAATTTTTTCAAATTACATATATATGTTCACAGTTACTGAACATATATATATGAATGAGTTATATAGAGATAGATAATAGAATGAAAATATGTATATATGAAAAGCGTACGTGATAGTGTAATTGTCTAATGTATATATTAATATAAACTCAACAATCATATTAAATCCAAGAAATAAAAAAGTATCGGGTTCAAATAATAGTAAATTAATATCAACCTCATATCTACAGTTGAAAATTTTACAACTCGATTAGACATCTAGTTACTTCAGATCGAATTATTTAATGTTAGGTTAGGTTGATTGTGTTTTTGAGAACTCCATTAGTTATAGGCATGAGTTGGTAGTAAAGTAAATTGAGAAGTGATATGACAGATAAAAACTGTGAATAGAATATATTCTAGGGAAAAGTACAATAAAAACCAATGAACTTTCTTGTTTGGAATGATTAAGTCCTTGAACTTTTTTTTGGAACAAATAAATCCTTGAATTTTCCAAAACATGTTAAATAAGTCCTTGAACATTCCAAAATATGTTAAATAAGTCCTTGGACAATTTTTGGAACAAATAAGTCCTTGGACATTTCAAAAAATGTTAAATAAGTCCTTGGACATTTCAAAAAATGTTAAATAAGTTCTTGGACAATTTTTGAAACAAATAAGTCCTTGAACAATCCAAAACATGTTAAATAACTTTTTGAAAAAAATAAAGTGGTAAAATAGTGAAAAAAA